GTAGATAAAGTGCCTTGCCCAAGGACACAAGCGACTTGCACAGCGAGAGTTTTGAACTCCCGACCTCGAGGTTGGGAGTCCAAACCACAACCGATGCGCCAACCACTTCTACGTGAGGCAACAATACTATGATTGGAGAAATTAAAATTATAAGTTGTGTATGATTTATCCATCCAATGACCAGATCATTTTTAATCTTGATTATTTGTTCTCTTGCAGGAGGAAATAATGGAACCAGATGATGCACCACCAAGGCTTGTCCTGAGAAACACAGGACAACAAGCATCATATGTTCTGTGTAATGGAAATATATTCAAAATAAAAGGGCAACTATCTGATGCTATCTATATGTTGATGGCAATTTATTATGTTTTTGACTTGCATTATCCGACAGAGTATCAGATTTTGGGAATTTTCCAATACTGGATTTTAAATGATAGAACAAATACATTCTTTCAATCAACATCTTTTCATAAAGTTAACAAAATGCTGGAAGCTGTTAACTCAACTACGGTATTAAGTGAAAATTAGATTGATAAAATCAAATAACTCACCTTCACAAGGCTTGTCCTGAGAAACACAGGACAACAAGCATCATATGTTCTGTGTAATGGAAATATATTCAAAATAAAAGGGCAACTATCTGATGCTATCTATATGTTGATGGCAATTTATTATGTTTTTGACTTGCATTATCCGACAGAGTATCAGATTTTGGGAATTTTCCAATACTGGATTTTAAATGATAGAACAAATACATTTTTTCAATCAACATCTTTTCATAAAGTTAACAAAATGCTGGAAGCTGTTAACTTAACTACGGTATTAAGTGAAAATTAGATTGATAAAATCAAATAACTCACCTTCACAAGGTCTTAAGTGTTATCAAATCTTTTAATGTTAACAAACAGTTTTATATTTGTTTATAATATTATGTATTAGTATTAGTATACGAATACTAATACTAGTTCATGTGAGCTATAGAACTATAGTGGTTGTTTACCAAACTGCATCATGTTCAGTGTAAAGATAGTTCAAAGAGGAAATATTGTGGTGTTAACCAACCAAACCTTCGGCGATAAATGGCAAGTGAAGGCAGTATAAGTTTTTCAAAATAGTTTTTTGTATTTACAGTATTGTAGAATTTATGGTGTATTTTAAGCTTTGAAATTCCAGTATTCAAATTTATAATGGTAGACATAGAATAAATACTTGAAGTTTTCCTGATTTAATTTCGCTTTCATTTTGTGTTCTTAAATGATGATGTGCACATTGTCGATCTGATAAACATTATAGAATACCAACCTCAGTGGGAAGTTTTAGATAAATTATAGTAAAATAATAATAATTTATTTTTTTTTTTGTTTTATAGGGGATGTCATCGGTTATCAAAAAATATCAATGCAGAGCACAACATACTAACACCGTTAAAAATGATATAGAGACTGCTAAACACTTGGATAGCAAAAACACTATAATTTTCTAAGCACTTTGTACTAAACACAAGACAGGATAAACATTGCAATTGCGGGATTTTCTTCGAAATACTATAACAAAAACAGTGTACTTTTCTAAACACTTTTGTGCTAAACACAAAACGAGATAAAAAAACTAAATAGTAAGCGTAATTTTCTTTTAAACACTATAGCAAAGACACTACACTTTTCTAAACACAAAACGGGCTAAATATTTGAATGATAAGCACAATTTTCTCCAAAACACTACAGCAAAAACACTACACTTTTCTAAACCGTTTTGTGCTAAACATTTGAATTTCAAGCACAATTTTCGCTTAAACACTACAGCAAAAACACAATACTTTTTTTTAACACTTTTGTGCTAAACACAGAAAGGTGCTAAACGTTTGAACAGTAAGCGCAATATTCTTCTAAACGCCAAAAGCAAAAACACAAAACCACACTAAACACGTAGTGCTAAACGCTAATAAAGCCTAAGCACTTCAAATGCTAAACACGTTTAGCATTCTATGTGTCTCCAAAGTGACTACAAGAATTGTGTTTAGCATTGTGTTTATAGTTTTTACAGTGTAGGCAACGCAACGCAACATCGACGCTACTCATACGCAGTTCAACTTTTCGTAGAGTGTTGCGTCCCTTGCGACAGCAATTGCGTCGATAGCGGAAATTCAAACCGGTTTGAATTTTACGTCAACGCAAGAGGCAAACGCAAGAAAAAGCCTCATCTACGCACGCTCAGTCAATTGCAAAACGACAACTGGGTCGTCTCAAAAGGAACGTCATCATGGTTTCCACAAAGGAGTCAGAGTTCATGGAAATTGTGCGAGAATATCCCTGCCTTTATGATAAAGGCAGTGAACAATTTTATGAAGTTTAAATGTTTCCTTACAAAATGTGTTTTCTTTATTTGTTTTAAACCATTTTATTTTCGTTTGTATGTATATATGGACTGTGATGTGTGTGTATGTATTGTATATTTACTTATCATTTACCATCTTGTATCAATCCAATGCAATTTTATCTTTCCTGGGATTTGCTGCAAATAGTTTTTATTTCCAAAGTAGTTGTTGAAGTGAATATACAGTATAATGTTGCCACTGTATACCTAGAAAACTTTTGTGTACAATACAGCCTTGCCTAGAGTAAATTTGTCGTTCATATTTTCAGAGTTATTTACCAGTTGCCAATCAATGTGTATTATTATTATTGAAAATAAAATGTAAAAAATATTTATAAAATTATCTGGATTCTGATTTTCTGGTAGTTCTGCATGTACTGTAAAAATTTTTAAAACAATTTGACGATGACATTAAAATATTTTTTAATTCCCTAGGCTAGATTTTTTAATTTAGAGGAATACCAGGATAGGTTAACACACCACTTCAAGTAGCACAACATATCTGTAGTTGCTACAGAAATTTATCATAGGCCTAATTCCAAAAAATTAAATAGGTCTATTTAAGTAAAGAATACAAGAATTTTTCATCAATACAGTACTAGATTTAGATGTTGTTTCTTTAATGTAGTGTTAATTTAATAAGTGACAAACCATAATGAAAGTAGCACAATACAGCATTTCTAGATACTGTATGTTAAATAACAAACATTTATTATAACATACAAACCACTGATCAAAAATTGTCATAAACATTAGACATTGCATATCTCTTAACATAGAAACTAACACTCCGATCCTAATATGGATCAAGTAGTACCATTTAATCTTATATATATAAATTTTTGCAAAGCAGATTTAGCCTTTTTTTTTTAGCAAACCCATTTGTATCAACTGCTCTAATAATGGTTTCGAATAAACATAAAACTTTAGTGGCAAATTAGCACACTCCTGTCACGAACATTTCAGAAAAGATTTTTTTTTTAATTTTGATTATGCCCACTGCTGCCTAATATCTCAAAAATAAGATATGTATATTTCTTCTTAATTACTGTATATACAGTTTACATTCACCAATAGAATGTTATTTTTTCTGCCCATCTCTGATGATCTTTAAAAAAAAATAAGTATAAATAAATATAATAAACTGCCATATGGTTTTGATTTATCAATTTAAGTCAAAATGTATGTAATCTGTCATAAAAAGAAACTATACAGTAATTTACTTAACGAGTGTTCATGTTCCATCTGGAAATCCATGAGATGGATGAAAGACTACCAACGTCAACAATTTAAAATACTTTAATTTAACCAAAATGTGGTTTTAATGTGGTTTAATTGGGGCTGAGTTGACTGCTTGGGTAGGGGAAAACAGTAGGCCTCCGCTGGAGGTAGGCCTACCACCACTGCACTGGCTAGCTTTTTCCCTTCTTAAAAACCCTCACTCATTAAAAAGATAATGTTGGCACCTAGGCTTATAATAATAATATAATAATAATAATAATATGTAATCATTAGGCTATGAGTAAAATTCATAGATTCTAATTTGCAGAGGTTCATTAAAGCTAGGCACCAACAATGGAAATATTCATAGGATGCCCTAGCGTAGGCTTAGGCCTAGACCGCCTATGCCAGGCCCTCCTACTCTACTAGGCCTAGGCCAGGCTACTCACCTGAAAAAATATTCTCGGTCGGTGGCTTTCAATAAGAATGTTGTTTTAAACTGGCCATGTAAATTTCTTTCTTGAAATATTTCACGCACCCAAAATCGTCTCCTTTGTTTAGTCTTATTCTTCTCTTCCGCTTCCATAAAAGATACAGTAGGGCCTATACATATTCTTGCAAATTCTCTGTCGTTGTCTTTCGGCATGTTGTCACTT